TGTGAGGTCAACCAGACCTGAACAAGCTAGCCGAATTGCACCGCCATAAGTTATACCAAGAACCCGGATCCAAAATATACAATTTATATACTGAATGTTCATAATTTGAATTGTGAACATTTAGTATGTAAGTTGTGTATGTAAATTGTGAATATTTATTCTCTAAATTGTGTATTTTTAAACCCAAATCTACAGAATAATTTGTGGTACACCACACGGTCCACACCACCATTAAACAAGCCTTCTTAGACTACCAAGGCCCAAGCCTTCAAGTCTTACCCACATTATAAAGCCCACTAAACTTATTGAACATAGCTCAGTCTCATTATTTTCAATCGTTATGCTATGGACCCTTGTCCAACATACATTGTGGACACGGAACGGTACTATAAGTGGGCAATTTATATCGTATATCAGGATGGGCATTGCATTGTGCGCCCTGATACAAAATGACGACATTTTACATAACTGTATAAAAAAATTATACATAATTGTATAAACAAATACACATAATTGTATAAACAAACACACATAACTGTATAAAAAAATACACATAATTATATAAACAAATACACATAATGATATAAACAAATACACATAATCACGTCAACTCCCTTCCACGCATCCCAAAACGACGTTGTTTCGGGAGGCGCGGGACGCACAGTGCTGCGCGCGCCGTGGTGCAGGGTATAACGATTGCTGTAAGTGGCACTGTTATCTCCCACCATTTTTTTTTAAATTTCAGACCGCTTCGTTATAGTAGCATATGTTCATAATTTTATCACTATATGTTATAATTGTAAGTTCATAATGTTAGAGCTCTGTGTTCATAATTGCATAATTGTACATTCATAATCAATGTTGAAAAAATCGCTAGGCGCCCTCTAGGCGCCTGGGGACCGCCTAAGGCGCCTGGGGACCGCATAGGGCTCCTAGAGCGCCTAGAACGCCTAGGCGGGCGCCTAGAGCGCCTAGGCGGGCGCCTAGAGCGCCTAGGCGGGCGCCTAGAGCGCCTAGGCGGGCGCCTAGAGCGCCTAGGCGGGCGCCTAGAGCGCCTAGGCGCCGATTAATCGGCGCCTAGGCGCGATTTTTGCAACAGTGTTAATAATTCTATAACTGTACATTCATAATTCCGTTACTGTACATTCATAATTTTTTTTTTGAGAACTGTACATTCATAATTCAATAACTATAAATTCATAATTTTCGAAGCTCTATGTTCACAATTTTAGAGCTCTATGTTCATAATTTTATCACTATATGTTCATAATTATAAGTTCATAATGTCAGAGCTCTGTGTTCATAATTTCATAACTGTACATTCATAATTCCATAATTGTACATTCATAATTCCGTTAACTATACATTCATAATTCAATAACTGTACATTCATAATTTTCGAAGATCTATGTTCACAATTTTAGAGCTCTATGTTCATAATTTTCACTATATGTTCATAATTGTAAGTTCATAATGTCAGAGCTCTGTGTTCATAATTCAATAACTGTACATTCATAATTTCATAACTGTACATTTATAATTCCACAAACGAATAACGCCGTTAACAGCGAGACAAAATCAATTTTTTTTTTTTAAATTGGAATGCCGTCGTTTTGGACTCATGTCCACAATGCATAGTGGACACGAGTCCACAGCATAATTTGCCCATTATTTTCAATCGTTATGCTGTGCATCCGTGTGCACCATACATGGTGCACACGGATGCAAAAACGACGTCGTTTTGGCTAAAAACGCGCGTCCCACTTAAAAAAAAAAATCCAGTTTTGATTCCCCTCAACAACATTATGTTGTTCATTCATTCTGGATTTTTAGTTCATAGATTCTGGATTTTTAGTTCATTGATTCTGGATATTTAGACGAAAATCGATACTGATTTTTTTTTTTTCCATTCATGCTGGATATTTAGTTGATTCATTATGGATGGATATTTAATTAGTTCATTCATTATGGATTTTTAGTTCATTGATTCTGGATTTTTAGTTCATTGATTCTGGATATATAGTTCAAATTATGCACAACATAATGCTCTTACCGGGAATCGAAACCAATTTTTTTTTTAAGTGGGACGCGTGTGATGTAGCAAAAATGAGTGATGGTGAGTGTACGGGTGTGAAATATCGTCCTCAGGGGATTGGGGGATATGACACGCAATATGCAATCACAATAAACTAGGCACTAGCATAAGGAAATCAACAAGAAGCTAAGCAAACTACGAGTTTAAGGAAATGATAAGACTAACACATATACACAAAGATAAACACAAAATAAAGAAATAGGACTCAAGCTAGTGAGCATTATCATATAGTTGTTTTAACAACCTAAGGGATTAGGGAGAACAAGTAACAAAGGAAACAAGCGGGAATGCACGTAGGTATCCTAGTCTACAAACCATTCTCGTGATTAATAAACAAGGATTAGAACAAGGAATTGCCCCACTTTCGTGGTGAATCAATTCCAAGCCCATCAAGCACACAAAGCATCTAAAGTCCCCAATTTCCCCTATTTTCATAGGAAGAAATCGGGTCTAAGCAAGGGGTGGCTTGGATTCATCACCCAACTCTCGTTGAGGCAAAGAATCCTCCAAAAACAAGCTAATTAATGTGTACATCAAACATTAACAAGATATAAATACAAAACCTTCACAAACACATGAACCCTAGGTTACAGTTCTTCCCCTTTTTGCAATAATCACAAATCAAGCATCAAGATAGATAACACAACCCTAACTCAAGTCCATAAACTAACTACTCATGATTCAATAGCACAAAGAACACAAAAACATAAATGTAAAGCATAAACATTGCAAAATAAAGAGATAAAAGAGAGAAGAAAACTTCACTAAGAAATTGATGGTGAATCTTGGAATCCAAGTGTTGAATCCTTGATTACAAGCTTGAAAAATGTTAAGAAACTTAAATCTAAACCTAATCTAACACTACAATATGAAAGGAAGTGAAAGAGAGAAGCTAGGGCTCAACCATGGGTCAAAACCATGTAGAAATGAGAGAAAATGGGGTTAAAAAGAGGCAGAGCAGGTTGGGACGGCCTCTTGGATGGGAGTACGCCAGGGGTACGATTTTTGGTGCATTTCCAGTGAAAACTGGATCAGGGAGAAGAGATGCGTACTGGCATGCGTACGGGCATACGGCAGGGCGTACGAGGCTCCTGGAAACAGAATTCTGTGCACTTGTCTTGACTTCTAGGCTATTTTCCTCCTCTAAAACCATTTTATTGGCACTTATGATCTTCAACAAAGTTGTATCCCTTTAAGTTGGCTTTCCAATGGTGCAAGAATTACTCCATTTGGACATTTCTAGGCCGAGATATGGTCAAAAAACCGAACAGTGTCCGAGATGAGCGAAAATTACAATGTCTTGATCTTTTGCTCCTCTTTTGTTTTGGTTTACCCAAATGACTAAAACCATTGAATACACCACTCTTAGGCTCCCTTGGAAGTATTTTGTCCATCCTCTTAACTTCTCATTGGCTCCCATTGACTCCTAATGCATCCAAAATGCTCTATTTGACTCCAATGTCCACCAAAATGCCTGAAAATACTCATTTTTATTTTCAAACAAAACTCCTAGCAAAATAACACAATTTAATCATAATCTCATGAAATTTGGAATGATCTATAAGCAAAATGACTTAGCGAAAGGGAGGAAAATATAGACAAATAAGCACTTATCAGCGTGTTTGCCCATTATTTTGGCAAATTATGTTGTGCATCCGTATGTACCATGCATGGTGCATACGGATGCAAAAACGACGTCGTTTTATTAAAAACGCGCGTCTCCTCTTAAAAAAAAAAATTCAGGTTCGATTCCTAGCAACAACATATGAACTAAAATTCCAGAATCGATGAACTATAATTCAATAATCGATGAACTATAATTCCATAATCGATGAACTATAATTCCAGAATCTATGAACTAAAATTTCAGAATCTATGAACTAAAATTTCAGAATCTAACCTATGAACTAAAAATTCCAGAATGAATGAACTAAAATTTCAGAATCTATGAACTAAAATTTCAGAATCAATGAACTACAATTCCAGAATCGATGAACTATAATTCCAGAATCAATGAACTAAAATTCCATAATCTATGAACTAAAATTCCAGAATGAATGAACAACATAATGCTGTTGCTGGGAATCGAACCTGATTTTTTTTTTTTAAGGGGAGACGCGCGTTTTTAATAAAACGATGTCGTTTTTGCATCCGTATGCACTATGCATGGTGCATACGGATGCACAGCATAACTACTCCATTATTTTAAGCTTAGTAAGCTTAATCTTAAAAAAAAAATTCAAACGTAATTTTTTTTTAAAGAACCAGATTCATTAATTCATATCCAAAAGTAACACGTTACAAAGAGAAAAATGGAGGATCTGAAAATTACTCCGAACAACCAGACATAGAAATGGGCTGCTCAGCTGCAATAACACATGAGCCGTTTCGTTGATCATCTAGAAAAAGTTAAATTTACATGAATAAACTCATTCAACAAGTTTTTGATATCATTTAAAATAAGATGCAATGAAGATGCATCCAAAGTGTCATTAAGACTTTGAATCACAAGCAACTACAAGTCCGTTTCAACTTATACTTGATCAAAGTTGTTTTGCTTAATTAAGCCAACTTAAAGACTCTCGAACCGCTACGCTTCGGCTTCTTTGGGTGAGAATATACCTGTCCATTGAATCCCTTTTGAAGCTACAAAGTCCCCATTGTCATCTCTTAGGACACTTCCAAATCCCATTATATTGTAACTCCTTTCTTGTCAATGGCTGCATCAACATTTAACTTTAAAAAACCTATATTCGGTTTCATGAGACGGTGTGATGAGACCCTTTAATTAATTTAAACTGAACTATTCACCATTCATAACATAACATAAATAAATAACACAAAAACATAATAAGAATAAAATGTAAAAATCATAAGGGAAAGAGAGATTAAAAGGAAATGGAAATTTATAATATCTCCCAATTTTATTTATATCATTTTTCAACATAATTATTAGGAGCATCCACTTTCCTGTCTTATTCTTCTTAATTCCATAATGGCCGAAACATGCAAATTCAACTAAGCTCTCCGATCTCCGATCTCCGATCCCATACTTGATCTTATTTCTAGCTTAGCTTCCTTCTTACATTACATGAAACGAGATCCCTTATTAGAAGCCTGGTAAAACCAGGTGTTAACCATGTTGAGCTTTAGCTTTTCAGCCTCGGAGTTTGATAGCTCGTAAGAAGCGGCGATAATGCCCGCCGGCAGTCCGGCGAGAGTGGAGGTGCGGCCGCTGAAGGTGTTGTACATGGCGTTTTCATTGGTGTTGAATTCCACCCACTCGAACCCTTCATCTCCGGCTTGTTTCACGACGGCGAAGTTCTGGGGTACGAGGAACAGTTGCTTTTCTTTGACATTCTGGTCTAGGACAAGTTTTCCTTGTTGGTTCACGATCTGGACTTTTGCGCTGCCCTTTGTCACGTACACGAAGCTGTGCGCGTTCATGCTCCATCTTGGTACAATTCCCCAGTTCTGCAACAATAATTTTTTGTGTTTGTCTAGGAATATGAGTTTGTCTCATATGATGAGGAATATAAGTTTATCTCATACTAGGAATAGGAGTGAAACAGGTAGACTTATTATATAGTGATTAGATGCTTATAAATATATTGATTGTATCCTTAAGGAATGGTGTATCACCATCACTATGAATATAAGAATTGTTTAATTCCCGTAGGCACTTTGCCGAATCAGGTAAATTGTCTTCTCTACCCTTTCTGTCATTGTTATTGTTATTTTTTGTTTTGTTTTTAATGTGTATTTGGGATTTGGGACTAGGGACGGAGGAGAATTAAAGCATGTACCGTGTTGAGGACCCCGCGGGCGGCGCTGAGGCGGACGAGGCTGAAAATTGGGAGGGTGAAACTGTTGAGGGTGGTGAAGTGGCCGGCCTGATCATCGTAGATGTCAGCATTTTCAGAGCTCTCGATGTTCTGTAGCACTCTGGCGGTGCAGAGGGTTTCCTCGAGAGCGTTGGATGATCCTCCTCCATGTCGGCCGCCGGATTGTCGTCTTTCTCCTGATCTCGAAGGCGCGATCAACTGAAGGGGCTCCTTCACCAGTATGATGTGTCCTCTCTGCTCCGTTGAATCTTCTCCGACGATCTTCTTCGCTGTTTCCATGTCCGTGTTGAGCGCATCCTTGATGATCTGGGCATCGAAGCCGGCCAGAATGTTGTTGCTGTACCCAAACGGGGAGTCCGTCTCCTCCTGTTGCCCGCCGTGCTGCTGCTGTCCCTGCTCACGTTGTCCTTGTTGCCGGCGTCCCTGTTCACGCTGTGGTGGATGGCTGCTTGGTGTGTCTCCGGCGAGGAAGAACCTCTGCAAGCAAAACAAATCAGCCGCTACTCGAGGGTGTATATAGGAGAGATTATAGTTACTATAGCACATTCAATTGTGCTCAGTAACACCAATACACCATCTAGAGTTCTGAGTCTGAGACAAAACATGACTAAGAGGCAACAGGAACATAATTGTGTCTGGAGATCAACACCATCATACGAGGTCAGAACTCTTGTATACTAATATTCAGTATAGTTAGATTATTTATATCTAATAGTAAGGGCTATCTTACGAGAGGATAATCGTCAAGCTGATTAACATAGTTTGAGGTATCCTGAAGAACAACCAGAACAGTTTGGTCTTTGCCGCTGTTGTAGACCCAGTGAGCTGTTCCCTCGAGGAAGACAAGAATATCGCCTTGTCTGTAGTTTTCAATCTTCTGGTGTTTCTCCGACTGTTTAGATTGCTGAGAAGAAGACTGGTACGTCTCTGCGCAGCCGGGATACACGATACCAAACTGTCCTGACCCTGTTAGAAATGGCAACATACAAGAACAGATAATATAATGTCAGTCCAAATTAAATCAACTTCTGATCTGCTACTCAGATTAATAGAAGAAGAAATACGTTCCTTCAAGGACGTAGGCGACGAGGGGGGCGTTGGTGTAGGAAGGCAAGAGGAGGCCTTGGGGCTCAATGGTGTGGCGGAAGGCAGAGGCGCCGCCGCACTTGAACTGCTCGTCGGAGATGTCCCAGAACTCGGTCTTGCCGCCCTCCGCCGGGATATCAAAGGCGGGATTTAAGGCCTTGATGTGGCTGAGCTGGCACTCGTTGTTCTGGCTCTCCTGCTGGAAGCTCTGCCGGCCAAAGCAGCCATTGAAGAGCACGAGAAAGCTGAGGGAGAGCGAAAGCCAAGCAGAAGATCTCGCCATGTTTGTTACCTTAATTAGCTTGTGTATGTAGAAGAAAGCTTAGAGGAATTGATAGAAATGGCGAGGGTATATATAGGAGAGATGGAAGGCGTTGGAGTTGACACATAGGGGGAGATGGAGATGACATTTTGCAGTTTGCATGGCAATCAAAACTCTCTTCAATTGCATGCGTTACACCTCATTGTTGCATGCATATATGCCTACGTGCGTGGCTAAATACCTCTGAGAATATATGCATTGCAGCATGCAGTACAGTACAGCTCATCCATTTGTTTGTAAGTGTATGTATCCATATATGTATTAAACCCCGCCCAGCTTAGCTTAGCTTCCTTGTACATCTTCAATTCTTCAACTCATCATCATCTATCACTCTTAAATTGGTGTTATGCATGGTCGAGTAGGATAGATACTGGAAATAATATGTGTTACAATATAATAGCTCTTATCTTGTTTAAAGATTTAACAATTACACTTAATATAAACAAAGTTGTGCTCATAACAGCACTAGAAGACTTCATGTGACACACTCAATCCATAAATTGTTGATAAGAATCATACATACTTTACCCACTCAGTCATCATTTTCAAGGCTGTTCATAATTTTATTGATTTATAAATGGGCTCTTAACTTAAATCGAGTATTAATTTACAGATAGCTAGGGTGGTACTAGAATACGACACAATAATATTTAACATGGAAACTTCATCCGAAAAATTAGGTATAGGCCTTGTTTGGAAATTGACGGGTGATAAGTGCATTTTTTGTCTATATTTTTATCCCTTCTTGAATCTATTTTATTTGTGAATTGCCTAAAAACTTGTGTGAATTGTGACTAAGTTATGTTGGTCTTATTTCAAAGTGCAATCATTTACAACAAGTGAAGAATTCAATGATTTGTTGGAAGATACGAGCAATTTTGGACCAAGAGATCAATCAAAGAGTTTGGAAAGCACTTAGGAATTTCCAGTAGCCTCGTACTGCCTTGCGTACCCCTATCCCTTGGCCAGTACGAATATCTTCTCCCTGATCCAGTGTTCACTGGAAAGGCACCAAAAATTGTACGTCCTTGCGTACCCCCATCCCTGAGGCAGTACCTCTGTGCTCTTGATTGTAGCAAAAATAAGATGTGAGCGTACGGGTGTTTTATCGTCCTCAGGGGATTGGGGGTTATGGCACGCAATATGCAATTACAAGAAACTAGGCACTAGTATAAGGAAATCAACAAGAAGCTAAGCAAACTACAAGTTTAAGGAAATTATAAGACTAACGCATATACACAAAGATAAACACAAAATAAAGAAATAGGACTCAAGCTAGGGAGCATTATCATCTAGATGCTTTAACAACCTAAGGGATTAGGGAGAACAAGTGACCAAGGAATCAAGCGGGAATGCGCGTAGGTATCCTAGTTTATCGACCACTCTCGTGATTAATAAACAAGGATTAGAACAAGGAATTGCCCCACTCTCGTGGTGAATCAATTCCAAGTCCATCGAGCACACAAAGCATCAAAGCGTAGGTATCCTAGTTTATCGACCACTCTCGCGATTAATAAACAAGGATTAGAACAAGGAATTGCCCCACTCTCGTGGTGAATCAATTCCAAGTCCATCAAGCACACAAAGCATCTAAAGCCCCCAATTTCTCCTATTTTCGTAGAAAGAAATCGGGTCTATGCAAGGGGTGGCTTGGATTCATCACCCAACTCTCGTTGAGGCAAGGAATCCTCCAAAAACAAGCTAATGAATGTGTACATCAAACATTAACAAGATATAAACACAACACCTTCATAAACACATGAACCCTAGGTAGTGTTCTTCCCCCACTGCTGGAAATCTCGCTGTTTCCGTCCAACATTTCCGTCCAACCGTAATTTGGTCGGTATTTTAATAAAAATTTCAACTTACCGTCATTAAAAATGGGTGGACGGAACGTTGGTCGGAAATTCCGTCCAACGAGCGGATGTTGGACAGAACTTCCGTCCAACATCCGGTGTTGGAAGGAAATTCTATCCAACCTATAGTGTTGGTTGGTAAACTCAAATGGACTGATAGGTAGAAATTAAAAATGGTAAGTATTTAAAATGGGAAATTTAAATATTTTAGCCTTCCCTTCTTTTTCTCAGTCGAAGTCTTGAAGACTTTTCCTTCCGTCCAAGTCTACTGCCAAATGGATGCCATCACCTACAAGCTCGGAAGCCACGACTGATTCCGCCGTCCAAGCTCACCAGACCGCTGATGGCTCCTCAGATCGCGCGCGTGTTCAGTTTCGCGGCGGATCTGCGGGCTTTGCTCAACATCGCGGAAGATCTGCGGGCTTTGCTCAACATCGCGGAGGATTATGTCGTGCCCTTCCTCTTCTCTTCTCTTCTCTGGAAGCCGTAGCTGAGAGGTAAGTTTTACGGAGTATTTTTTATTTTTATTTTTCAACTCTCCTTCATTCTTTAGATCTGTACAAATGGAGCACTTTTTCGGAGAGTCCTATTTCAGATCTACGCTGGCAACTCAGATCTACGCTGAGAATGGAGGAGACGATGACAGACGGAGAATGGTCCCTGCTCTGCGGGTTAAATCTGTCTTTGGTGATATTTTGATGATATTTGCCTTACGAAACTGTTCTTAGTATTGAATTTAGGTCTTCTACTGTTGATTAAACCTTTATATATGCTTACAGTAAATACTGTCGTATATATAATTTCCCATGTGGTCTTGCTGTATCATGTTAATTAGTTTGTTAAGCACTCTGGGAAGGATATAATGATATAAACTCAAATAAAGTAAATACACCACATTCTTTTTCTGTATGTCTCCCAGTTTGTTGATGGTAGTTGTGTTCCCATTGTTGAAAGAATAATGTTTTTTGTACTCTAGGAATACGATGTTGAAGATTCTATTATGCCCCTTCAGCCATCATTGAACTAGTGAACTACACTGCTCCTGATTTGGTTCAAAGTAACACAAGTTCTATTGGATGCTCCTCTGATATTTTCAGTTTTGAGTGTCTTGCCTACCATTTGATTGCTCGGAAGCCTTGCTAGACTGTCACAACAATGTCAAGATGGTACTAAATTATATTTCATTTGTGATATAATGTACCTACTATGATTTCTCTTTATGTTCCAAATGATAACTTTGAGTTTCAATTTTGCTTTTAAGGAAACATTAAACATCAATTCTGATTTTAAACAAAACCATTTATATGCAGCTCACTACTCATATTTAAATTGCTGCTCCTAGATCCCTAGGGAGGATTGGGGATATGACACGCAATATGCAATCACAATAACTAGGCACTAACATAAGGAAATCAACAAGAAGCTAAGCAAATCATAACGATATTGAGGTTACGGTAACTAAACAAAGTAACAAAACACATATTAGCAAGATATAAAAACGAAACAAAGAAATATGACTCAAGTTAGAGAGAATTATCTTCTAGATGCATAGCACAACCTAAGGATTGGGGAAAATCACACAACCAAGGAATAGAAGGGATGCACGTAGGAATCCTAGTCTATAAGTCACTCACGTGATCGAGCAAATTAACAAGGATTAGAACAAGGAATTGTCCCACTCTCGTGGTGAATCAACTCCAAGTTCTTCAAGAACACAAAGCATCTAACCCCCCCTCCCCCCCCCCCCCCCCCCAATTTCCCCCATTTTCATAGGAAAAATCGAGTTTATACAGGGAGTGACTTGGAATCTTGACGCAACTCTCATTGAGGCCAAGAATCATCCAAAACATGCCAATGAATGTTGTACACCAAGCATTAACAATATACAAACACAAATCCTTCATAAACTCAAGAACTCTAGGTTAGAGTTCTTCCCCTTTTTGTAATAATCATAAATCAAGCATCAAGATAGATAATACAACCCTAACTCAAGTCCATAAACTAACTACATACTCATGATTAAATAGCATAAAGAACACAAAAACACAAGTGTAAAACATAAACATTGCAAGATAAAGAGATAAAAGGAGAAAAGAAGATTATCTATTGAAATGATGGTAGAACCTTGAAATCGAAGTGTAGATCCTTCAATACAAGCTTGAAATATGATAAAGAACCTAAATCTACACCTAATCTAACACTAAAATATGAAAGGAAAGAGTATAAAATAGTTAGGGTTCGTATGAGGTTCAAAATCGAGTAAAAATGAGTGAAAAAACAGCTAAAAAGGAGCAGAGGCGGGAGGCTCGACGCGTCAAGCATTTACAGACTGTAATTGCGACCTCACTGCCAATTCTCGACGGGCCGAGAAAATTCTCGACGCGTCAAGTGGCACTCTGCAACAGAATACCAGTTTATAGGCTGCTTTTGACCCTGTTTCCTTTAGGATTAGGTTTCGATGTCTTCATGAAAGTTGTAGATATTCGAGTCTTCTTTCAAATGGCGCAAGAATTACTTAATTTGGACATTCCTAGGCCGAGATATGGTCAAATTACCAAACAGTGTTCAGTTTCAGGTGAAATATGTAAGTTTGGAACTTCAACTTCAAGGATGATTTTGACCACTGTGGCTACCTTTTTAGGCTTTGATTTCTGAATATGAGTTGTATCCCTCTGAGTCTTCTTTCCAATGGGACAAGAATCACTTAATTTGGATGTTTGTAGTTCGATATATGGTCCAAAGACTATAACGTCGACGTGCATGTTGGGAATTGCAATTGCATAATCGTTTGCTTCTCTTTTGGTTTGGTTTGCCCAAATGACCATGACCATTGAAAGCACCACCCTTAGGCTTCCTTGGAAGTGTTTTGCCCATCCTCTTAGCTTCTCCTTGGCTTCCATGGACTCTAAATGTATCCATGATGCTCCACTTGACTCCAATATCCACCAAAATGCATGATATTACTCATCTTTGCTTCCAATGCTTTCCAAACCAAACTCCTTGCAAAATAACATAATTTAGTCATAATCTCATGAAATTTGAAATGATCTATATGCAAAATAGCTTAGTGAAAAGGGTGAAAAATATAGACAAATAAGCACTTATCAGTGGGGTTACTTAGCATAATCGCTAATGGTTTTAAAATGTTTTCAGGTACAGAGTAGAGATCCCTTCGAGCGCGCTAGTTGGACGTGTAGCCTCCTAGTTAGATAGCTATGCTTAGTTATTCCGCCTTTGTATTTTGTTGGGCTATAAACTTAAACCCTTAAATGTTGGTATCATACTTTAATTTCGTTTTGACTTTGCATGTGCACTTAGACTTGTAGTTCTAAGTGTGGCATAGCACCCTGATTCATACTTTATTGCTTCCGCTGTTATTTCAGACTTCTCTATCTATGATATCTTATGCTTTAAGTTATGCTTAGAATTGGGGGTGTTACAATTCCTTGGTTATTTGTTCTCTCTAATCCCATAGGTTGTTAAAGCATCTAGATGATAACGCCCCCTAGCTTGAGTTCTATTTCTTTATTTCGTGTTTACATCTTGTTAATATGTGTTCGTGTTATTTTGCTTAGTTATCGTAGCCTTAACTTCGTTATGATTGCTTAGCTTCTTGTTGGTTTCCTAGTGGTAGTGCCTAGTTGCTTGTGATTGCATATTACATGTCATAACCCCCAATTCATTGAGGACGACATTTCACACTCATACACTCACCATCACTCATTTTTGCTCACGATCAACAGGACATGCAGATTGTGCTATATTAGCAGTCAGATGTTAACTTATTATATTAGCTATTTGTGAATAAGTATTTAGTAATTAAAATTATTTATTAACTTTTGGATAACATGAAATGTAACATGACTTTTAAGAATATGAATGTATTTTATATAACAATAATTTATTAAATATTAATAATTAATTTTACAACGAAATATATCTTTTAATAATTATTTTTGGGTCACATTTGTGTGAAACCGTCTCATGGATCCTTATTTTTATTCGTGAGACGGATAGGGTTGGGTCAAGTTAATATATAAATGTAATACTTATACTAGCTAGCAAATGTAATACTTGATGGATACCCAGCTAGGGTACCCAGTCGTCGTTACAAGCAGTCAGTCAGACACGACAGTCAACCAACTAGTTAGTCGGGATCGTGACCATTTAGTCTTGGTGGGCAGTCAGCCTTGGCGGCAAAAGAAAGAATTAAAGTGACAATCACGAGATTATGGCAATTCGACATACACAAACTACTTCCCTAAATAGCATTTTGTTCCCCAAATTAAATCACCTCCAACATCTAAATATCTTTCTATTTCCTAAATTTCCATAAAATATTTCACTCTACCATAGCTACTCAATTACTAGAAGTAAATTATATTGCCATATGTATTGTATTTTTCCACTATAAAAGGCCATAGTAAGATATATGCAAGAAAGATCATCATCTCCTCTCTAGAGAAAAACTCGACTATACATGTACAAGCTACATACAAAAAGTAGTGGAATTTTGGCTTGGCACAACCCGAAAAGGCTCGTAGCTTTCACCATTCAATTTCTATGTTAAAAAAATGGTGCCTCTTTATTTTTCTTTCTCAATTATTTATCTTCTATTAATCTTACCGATTATGATGGCCTGCTGAATGACTACCCTCGGTAGTTAGAAAATCAACAATACTAAATGAGGAATAAAATTTTTTTGTTACTTATAAGAAAAAATATAATAATTTTATATTTTGATGTATAAGTATTACTTTTTTCATCAAAAGTATTATATTTCCCTTATAAGTAATGTTGCACTTATAAAGGCAAATGTAATATTTTATATTAAATTGTAAAAGTATTACATTTTTTTCTCAAAGGTATTATATTTTCCCATATAAGTAATAAACAGCTTATTCCTAATATAGTAATACATTTGCTAGTCGAGACCCCCTGCCGTGGCCTCTAGTCGTGGTTGGCCTAGGGCTCGGCCAAGCACAGGCCGAGACCCTCAATAGGGCTTGGCCAAGGCTTGGGCTGAAGCCCGGGTCGAATGCCACGGCCATGGCTGAGGCCCAGGGGATCCGGCCATGGCCTAGGCGACCCGGGTCAAGCACGAGGCTTGACCCCGGGGCCCGAGTCTACCCGCGTCTTCTTTGCTTCGCTTCTCCAGGTCAGTTTGCTCCATTTTCAATATATCCATCAGTATTACATTTCATTTTAACCCAATCCGTCTCACGAACAAATATCAGTGAGACGGTCTCACATAAGTTCCTTGCCTTATTTATATAATAATAAAGTAAATATTAAAGAATATATAATAAAAAATTATTTTTCACACTGAATTTTTCATACGAGGGGGGGTTCGAACTCCTAACCTCTCTTAAGGGACAAGAATGCAAGGCCACTCACGCCAACCGAGGTGGTTACATTTATTCATTTTATTTATAGAAAAATAATATTCTATTTTAATTATTATTATTATTTATTTGAAAAATTTCACGTCAGCAACTTGCGTGCTATTGTTGGTCTAAATGCACTAAAATAACAAGTTGATAGGTTTAATTGCAAATTTTATTAGAAGCTCAATAGCCCAATTGACTTCTCGTATAAAAGGTGCTCGACTATTAGGCAATTCACAATTCTATTGATAATATGCTACTGACTCTGTTATAATGTAGTATATATGATTGTCTTATATTGAGTATATATCTGCCACATTTGATGAGGATGCCTAAAATAATATTTAATAAGCCTTGGTCTTGCCCCGGCTCGCGGAGTTAGTTTAGTTAGTTTGATCGATCATTTCAAAACTTTACTTTAACCGTAAATGTGATAAAAAAACCCCAACTTTATGTACAGGGTATACAAACAAAGAAAGAGAACTTATAAACTGACCAGGTGATTTACTTCCTCCATATCCATAATCCCTCAACTCCTTGGTATTGACCATGACTCATCCAACCAAACAACCACCGTTCTCCAAACTCAGCTCATTAATCATTTCAAACCCACATATCCCAAAAAAATTAAAACCCTTCAACATATCACAAATAACCTTGAGGATATGTTTCATTACAACATAGTTAAGCAATACACTTTGTACTTATATGGCATGTAATGATGCCAGGAAAGTATTACACTAACTTATGAATCGAGTCTGTCACATGAAGTCTTCTAGTACAGCTCTATTATGAGCACAACTTTGTTTATATTAAATCTTTTAACAGAGATGAGAGCTATTATATTGTAACACATTATTTCCAGTATCTATCCTACTCTACCATGCATATATAACACTAATGTAAGAGTGATAGATGATGATGAGTTGAAGAATTCAAGATGCACAAGGAAGCTAAGCTAAGCTAAGCTGGGCGGGGTTTAATACATATATGGATACATACACTTACAAACACATGGGTGAGCTGTACTGTACTGCATGCTGCAATGCATATATTCTCAGACGTATTTAGCCACGCACGTAGGCATATATGCATGCAACAATGAGGTGTAACGCATGCAATTCAAGAGAGTTTTGATTGCCATGCAAACTGCAAAATGTCATCTCCATCTCCCCCTATGTGTCAACTCCAACGCCTTTCATCTCTCCTATATATATCCTCGCCATTTCTATCAATTCCTCTAAGCTTTCTTCTACATACACAAGCTAATTAAGGTAACAAACATGGCGAGATCTTCTGCTTGGCTTTCGCTCTCCCTCAGCTTTCTCGTGCTCTTCAATGGCTGCTTTGGGCGGCGGCAGAGCTTCCATGGGCAGGAGAGCCAGAACGAGAAGTGCCAGCTCAGCCAAATCCACGCCATCAGGCCCACCGGCAACATCCCGGCGGAGGGCGGCACGACCGAGTTCTGGGACCCCAATCATGAGCAGTTCCAGTGCGGCGGCGCGTATGCCTTCCGCCACATCATTCAGCCCAATGGCCTCTTCTTGCCTTCCTACACCAGCGCCCCCCTCGTCGCCTACGTCCTTCAAGGAACGTATTCTTTTTTATTAATGTTTACAAGTAGCTAATCTTTGCTATTACACTATTGAAAATTATGAAATTTTCGACCACCTAAAAGTGATCTTAAATCAATTTGAAAGCGTAGGAAATAGCAATAAAGATTTTTTCAGATACCAAAAGTGGTCGGAACAAGACTTTCTACTTAATTTAAAATCACTTTCAGGTGGTCTGAAATTTCATAATTTCCAGCAGTGTTAATTAATTTGATGGGTATTTTTTGCCATTTTCAACAGGGTCGGGAGAGTATGGTATCATCGTTCCCGGATGCGCAGAGACATACCAGCAATCTGAAAAAGGCTCCGAAATCTTAGACAAGTACCAGAAGATTAGATACTACGAAAAAGGCGACATTATTGTCATCCCTGCCAGCGCAGTTCACTGGTTCTACAACCAAAACAGGGAACCTACTATCCTGGTTGTTCTTCAGCGCGCCAATCCTGTCGTACGTAACAACAAATTTAACCTATTATTAGCCTCAGCTAAATTGGTTTATCTCATCCTTTATCACAAACAAGATCATTACAGTTGTTTATTTATTCTGGAATATTATATTGGCTGATTATTATGGTTTGTTTTGCTTATTACAGTCGTTCTTCCTGGCCGGAAAACCGGGAAGCAGTCATCAAGGACAACGTGAACAGGGACGACAGCAACAAGAGCTGATGACGGAGAGGCTGGGATACGACGGCAACATTCTGGCCGGATTCGATGTCCAGATCGTGAAGGACGCACTGAACACGGACAGGGAGACGGCGGAGAAGATCATTGGAGGAAATGCTAGAGGAAGAGGACACATCGTAATCGTGCAACAACTACCATCAAGACCGGAGCAACGCCGCCAACCCGGCCGACAAGGAGGAGGATCATCCAACGCTCTGGAGGAAACCCTCTGCACCGCCACATTTACACAGAACATCGACAACCGTGAAAGAGCCGACATCTACGACTCTCGGGCCGGCCGCCTCACCACCCTCAACAGCTTTACCCTCCCCGCCTTAAGCTTCGTCCGCCTCAGCGCCGCCCGCGGATTCCTCAATAAGGTACTCCTCCTCCTCTCAAGATGACAATAAATCCACACGCGTAATCACAAAAATCTTTACTAACTACCATTACTGGAAATAATTATGGAATTTCAGACCACCTGAAATCTTAAATCAAGTCGAAAGTCTGGTTCCGACCACTTTTGCTATCTTGAAAAACCTTTATTGCTATTTCCGACCATTTTTTGCAGTCAAACTTGGTTTAAGATCACTTTTAAGTGATTGGAAATTCTATAATTTCTAGTAGTGTAGAGTTACAAGGCAGGATAGGATTTTACTCGCACTCAAATCCAACGCTCATACCACAATTGTCAAACTGCAAGTCTGTCACTGTTTTTTTAGCCCCAACCTAGATCACTTAAGCGCTGCCCGGGTGCCCGGCTGGTGCCCCTATGCAACCATGGTTACAATATAATAATCTTTTAATTGTGTGCAGAACTGGGGACTGGTACCACAATGGTCCATGAACGCGCATAGCTTCCTCTACGTGACAAAGGGCAGCGCACTAATCCAGATCGTGAACCAGAGAGGAGATACCATCCTAAACGAGCAAGTCCAAGAAGGGCAACTGTTCCTCGTACCACAGAACTTCGCGGTGGTGAAACAAGCCGGAGACGAAGGGTTCGAGTGGGTGGAATTCAGCACCAATGAAAACGCCATGTACAACACCTTCAGCGGCCGCAGGTCCACTCTCGCCGGGATGCCGGCGGACATTATAGCCGCTTCTTACGACCTATCCAAATCCCAGGCTCAGAACCTGAAGGACAACATGTCTTCCCTGTGGTTTTACCAGGCTTCCGGCAGCAGCCCATCGTCATCATCATCTTCCGGCCGATCTGCTTTCATATAATTAACCAGATCGGAAAACATCTATCGGAATTGAATAAACCTAGTACGGGTATGGATCGGAGCGGCATGCAATTATGGGTTTTAGAATAAGACAGGAAACTATATTATTCCTCCCTCGCTCCTAACTATGTCTACAAATAATCAAATAAATAAATAAAATGCTACGTTTCTGCACGTACTACATATATATCTTCTCCCTTAGCTTGCATGTGTATTTTTTTTTTTTTTTTTGAGATAAGAGACAAATAAGACATTCAACTTATCAATTATATGTCAAAATGTAAAAGTAATTAATATATCGGTGGAAAAAAGCTACAAAGCTCTCTGAATGTACCACATACTATTAGCAACGGAGTCGTTGTCTCAATCGTCCATCGGAGAACCAAGACTTGCTAGAGCATAGTATCATTTATTACGTATTGACTTTAATGGTATATATATTAATAAATACTAATATAATTAATTAATTATGAATTGTGTATATAATTAATTAATTGTCAAAAATATAAGAAGTTACCTCAATATTGATTTTCATTCATAATTATTTTCTAAGGTTTCAACATTTTTTTTCCTTCAAAATAATTGACTTCCATTCTTTGTTCTTCCATCTATACGGAAATACAAAAGGGAAACCAAAATGTACACTTAAAAAGGAATTCCCTTCACCAAAAAGAAAAAAAAAAAAGGAATTCCATTTATTACATAATATAAATTTTGTAATATATTAGTCAATATATTCTTACCGCATACGTTAAATAGTCAAAATAAATAAATAAACAGTATTTAAATTATTATTATTATTATTGGTTTAAATAATAATTAATAAATCATTATTTTCTTATAAAATTACGTAGAATTTTCAAGGAATATTTTCAATTATTACGCAAAATTGTTTCTGATGGATTTAATTACCCGGGGTGGACCCGAATCACTAAATCCGGATAAGAATATGAATAATAATAAATAAATGAATGAAACGACGTCGTAAAGGTCGCTGGGGACCGTATATCGTATTAACAGGCCGTAAATAGGCTATTACAGTAGTTTCTTAGGACAAAGTGTGTAATAAAGGTAGAACATGTCTTAATGAGACAAGGTGGGGGGTTTTTATACAACCCCCACCCCTAACTGCCACCCCCTAAGGCGGTGGGGGTGGTTGGATCCGTGTTGACCGGGTCTCGGTCGGCGGACGACCTCTCATGGACGACCTCTCCGTGGACGACCCCTCGCGGACGACCTCTCCTAAATCTCCAAGGGCCGAGGCCTCGTGGAGGACGAGGCCTCACGGGTCGAGGCCCCGTGGTCGAGGCCCATAAAGCCGAGGCCCCGCGAGTCGGGGCTCCGGGTCTTGCTCCGATCGTAATATATCCATCAGTTTCCATTATTTTCACACCAATTCATTATGTAGAATCATTCGAAATATTATTATTATTACGTAGAATTAATTGACTGCGGTTAAGATTAAATTTTCAATAAAATATGAATAAATAATGGACTCCTGTTAAGATTAAATTTCCAGTAAAATATGAATAAATTTAAAATTGAATCCTGTTAAGATTGAAACAAAGCACATAACTTTAAAAGTTGAAATATGAAATAAAATGTAAATAGTGTTATTGGACAAGGATAAACTATGTTAAATATCAACCACGAATAATATAAAAAATGTCTGATGCAATGTATAGAATTTGAATTGGAAAATATTTTATTAATTATTTCAACCCAGATTCTCAACCATCACAGATCTTAACAGATCCATCATTCTTTGCATCACGATTAGGGGTGTTAGCGAACAGAGCTTTCGGCAAACTACTCGTGTTCGTGTTCGGTAAGCGTTCGTTTATGTTCGTTTGTTAAGGTAAACGAATCATTAACAAACAAAAATTAGAGTTCGGTTAATAAACAAACAGAGCTTGAACAGTTGTATGCTCGTTTGCTAAGAGATCGTGAACAAGCTCGTTTGTGTTCGTTTAGTAATGTTCATGATCAAGCTCGTTTGTATTCGTTTAATAATGTTCGTAAACAAGCTCGTTTGTGTTCGTTTAATAATGTTCGTGAACAAGCTTGTTTAGTCTTCGTTTAATAATGTTCGCGAACATGAACGTAGATTATTTCTTGTTCACGAACGAATTGTGATCATGAACATGTGCAAGTGTTTGGTTATCAAAGGTTCACAAACGTGCTCATGAACGTAAATCAACATGTTCGTGAACGTGTTTGTTAACGAACATATTTGTGAACATGTTTGTTAACGTTAACGAACACGTTCGTGAACGTGTTCACGAACGTTGACAAACACGTTCGTGAACGTTTTCGTTAACGTAAACGAACACATTCGTGAACGTGTTCGCGAACGTTAACAAACACTAATGAACGCTTAACAAACGAACACGAACAAGATTTTCAAAAACCTTAACAAACGAACACGAACACAAACACCCTAAAATTCTTAACAAACGAACACGAACAACCGTCGTTTGTTTATGTTCGGTTCGTTAACAGCCCTAATCACGATTGCTTGATAGGCTCCAATTTTCCAATAGGACTTCCAGGCACCTGTCCATCATATCCAAATTGCTTGATAGGTACGCAACATTCTAACCTTGATTGCATTCCTTCTATTTTTAAGATTAAGTTCACGTCCAATAATATCGATTTGAGTTGAAGTCATGCCTATTTGGTGTAAATAGGAGTTTGCAGACGCAGAAATTCGTTGGAAGTTTACAGCTATAAGTTTAGCATAATGAAGTGTTTAAATAGTAAAAAAAAATCCATCTTTACGCAAAATTAGTATTCGAATAAATAGGAAAAAGGTTCTGCGTGTGTAGACTTGTAATTATTATTGGTGTAAAAGCAGTATTCGAATTATTATTATTATTATTGTAAATATTAATTAATAAATCATTATTTCCTTATAAAATTACGTTATTACATAGAATTTCCAAAGAATATTACTAATTAATAGATATTAGTTAATTTACATATAACATTTTGTTACCAATTAAGCTTTACTAATTCTTTTACCAATAAATTAATTAATTAATATTAAGAAAAGTTTGAGCGAAAAAGTTGAAGATGAAGATTTTACTTTTATTAATAGTATAGATAGATAACAATGTATGTGATATGCATTAAAGGAAAGAAATAATTGGTGGTTTAATTAGTGGAAGGTCTAAAAGGAATGAATCATATGTAATTAGAGAATAATTGACTAAATATTAGTATGAGAAAATTATGTATATTAGAATATATCATTACTGATTGTAGCAAAAATGAGTGATTGTGAGTGTACAGGTGTGAAATGTCGTCCTCAGGGAATTGGGGGTTATGGCACGTAATATGCAAAAAAAAAAAAAAAAAAAAAAAAAAAAAAAAAAAAAAAAAACTACTAAGCACTAGCACTAGGAAATCAACAAGAAGCTAAGCAACACATATATAGTTTCAACGATACCATAACTAAATAAGATAACACTAACACATATTACAAGAGATAAACACGAAATAAAGAAATATGACTCAAGCTGATAAGTACTTTTTTGTCTATATTTTTACCCCTTTTTAAACCCATTTTATTTGTGAATTGCCGAAAAACTCGTGTGAATTGTGAAAAATTTATGTTGGTTCTATTTCAAGGTGCAATCATTCACAACAAGTGAGAAATTTAATGATTTTTTGGAAGATTCGAGCAATTTTTGGACCATGAGATCAATCAAAGAATTTGGAATGCATTTAAAAATTTTCAAGAGTTTCGTACTGCCTCGCGTACGCCCATCCGCCTGGACGTCCATAAGCAATGTGTAGCTGAGGAGGTCGTACCCCCAAGCGTATGCCCGTCCCTTTGGGCGTACGAAATTCCAGCCATTTTCTAGTGCTCACTGGAACAATCGTACCCCTTTGCGTACACCCGTCCCTTAGCCCATCTGACATCTCAAAACGGAAGCAAGTGACGTACCCCCTGACATACGCCCGTCCCTGAGGGCGTCCCACTGTGTTGTGTTCACTATTTAGGCACAGATTCACTCATTTCTCCATGGTTTTGGACCTTGTTCCAACCCTAGACATTTCCTTTCACTTCCTTTCATATTTTTATGTTAGATTAGACTTAGATTTAGGTTCCACAACATATTTCAAGCTTGTAATCAAGGATTCAACACTTGGATTCCAAGATTTGCCATCCATTTCTTAGTGAAGTTTTCTTTCTCTTATTTCTTTCTTTTGCAAGGTTATGTTTAATGCTTGTGTTTTTGTGTTCTTTATGCTATTTAATCATGTGTAGTTAGTTTTTGGACTTGAGTTAGGGTTGTATTTTCTATCTTGACGCTTGATTTGTGATTATTGCAAAATGGGGAAGAACTCTAATCTAGGGTTCTTGAGTTTATGAAGGATTTGTGTTTGTATTTTGTTAATGCTTGGTGTATAGCATTCATTAACATGTTTGGGAGAATTCTTGGCCTCAATGAGAGTTGGGTAAAGATTCCAAGCCACTCTTTGCATAAACCCGATTTTTCCTATAAAAATGGGGGAAGTTTGGGGCTTTTGATGCTTTGTGTTCTTGAAGAACTTGGAGTTGATTCACCAGAGAGTGAGGCAATTCCTTGTTCTAATCCTTGTTAATTTGCTCACGTGAGTGACGTATAGATTAGGATTCCTACGTACATCCCCTCAATTCATTGGTTGTGTGATTTCCCCTAATCCTTATATTGTGTTATGCATCTAGAAGATAATGCTCCCTAGAGTCCTATTTCTTTATTTTGTGTTTATCTTTGTGTATATGTGTTAGTCTTACCGTTTCCTTAAACTTGTAGTTTGCTTAGCTTCTTATTGATTTCCGTATACTAGTGCCTAGTTTATTGTGATTGCATATTGCGTGTCATATCCCCCAATCCCCTGAGGACGACATTTCACACCCGTACATTCACCATCACTCATTTTTGCTACAATCATTAGGACAAGGAACTTCCTCACTCTTATGGTGCATCAATTCCAAGCCCATCAAGCACACAAAGCACCTAAAGCCCCCAATTTCCCCTATTTTCATATGAGTAAATTCAGTTTATGCAAGGGATGGCTCGGATTCATCACGCAACTCTCATTGAGGCAAGGAATCCTCCAAATAAATGCTAATGAATGTGTACATCAAACATTAACAAGATATGAACAAAACACCCTCATAAACACATGAA